TATCCCCATTTTTATAATGTGTGCTTAGACAGCTTATGGGTGATCTTGATTTGGTTGAAATTTGAAAGCAATCATGTCAGCCTCTATCACAGTCGCAGAGTTTCACAAGGTGGTAGGACTTGTTTTCTGCCTAGAACTCCGTTTGTGTACATGCTTCTACGGTTCCAATCTGAATGGTATATAGTGTCAGTATTTTTTTTATAGGATAGAGCGACAAACGAGCACACAGTACACCTGATGGTAAGTGGTTGCTGTGAGCCATAGACATCTACAATATCGATCCTTAATAAGTAATGAAATCAAAATGCAGATGCGTTGTCATCCGTGTGGACTAGGATGGAATGCCTCTTTACTAGTAAAAATGGTCTCCGGTTAATTACTAATCATACGTATAGATGCAGCATGGCTCTACCATGTATGCATGTATATAATTACAGACTGACAAAGCAGCTGTAACCTTCTTTATTTGAAGATGGCTGCTGGCATCCATGGACTGCCGTAGCATTATCATGTGGACTGAAGGTTCGTTTATTACTTTATTCCAGCCTCTTGGTATTGTATAGGGTACATTTTAGTGTGCACAGGAATTACATTAATTAATTCCTGCCGCCCCTTTTAACTATTGATTATTCAGGCGCTCGGTAGGTACCCACCTCTTTGTTGTCGATATTACTTATATTCGAAACAAATGGTTTGCTTCGTCTTTTGTAATGCGTACAGCATAAGGAGTGGAATAAGCGCGTCTGCGTTTCCGTCCGATTACAATCTGTGCGAGTGTCTTCAAGGCAAGACTGAATCGGCTTCTGTTACGCTAAGACAGTGCGATTTACTATCTAACACTTCATCACCATTAACTAGCATATCAGAATGTAATGAAGCACTGGATTATAATAAGTAAAAAAACTTGTGAGGAACGTCTGGCAGATGTGAAACATCGAAATTATTTTGTATAGATAATGTGACATAAGTAAGGCATAAAAATATAGTTTACGACAGGAAATAAATATGGCACAATGAAAAATAAAATATTAAGATTTTTACTTAAGTTTTCTTTAGTTTAAGTTTCTAAAGTTTGTTTATACAAAAACTAAATGTATATAATAAAATAATATACATGCTTCATACATACATATTATCATATAGCGTGGCGACGCATGCCGTGGCGACGCGTCACCACGCCAACATCAGTGTCAGTCACCAGCAGTCGGTCTGACCCGCCGCTATAGATGTTTCACATCAAAAATATCAGGCCAAATCAAACGCATCGTATTGTAAATTCAGCTTCTGTACACTGAAAACTGGGTGATTTTGATATATAAATTCTACCTTCTCTTTTTATGTCGTTATCTCTACCGTAGGAGTTTTTCGCTGTACATAAATAAACACCCAAACCCGCAATAATATTTGAAGGCCATACTGCTAATAATTATTGCGTTACTCGCAGTATCGAAGCGCAACGTAGCAGTGTAGTGATGGTTGCAGCATCTGTCGAAGGTCGTGAGGTTATTTCGGCATATTATTTTCTTTTTTTGATGCGAGTATTTTTATTAATTTATTTTAAAGGTACATATTTAAGAAATTGTCATATTTGTCAATATTCAAGAATACTGGCTGCATTTCCTCGCGGAATGGCTATATTTAACCGTTGAGCAAGATAAGAACTAGCGCTCTTGTGACCATATGAAACGAACACACGCGAAAATAGTTTCTTTAGAAAGTTCACCGCGCGTGAACTTCGCATGCCGTTAGCGTATTCATCAAATTGCACAAATACAACGTCATATAAAATTTTGTTTACCGTGTAGTGGCGGTGTAAGAATATTCACTACCCCATATAAATACCACATATAAATTTCATTGAAATCGGTTCAGTAGTTTAGGAGTTCATTGCGGACAAACAATGTGACACGTAATTTTATATATAAAGATATATATTTATTATGTATATACATTCACATCAGTATACAATATACATGTATCTGAGCGTGCCGGTCTGTAGTCTCCTCTGTATGAAGCTGACTGCAGGTGTCCATTGACTGCAACAGTCACTTACCACCAAGTTTACTGTGTGCTAGTTTGTTACACTTATTATATAAGCATAAAGCAGCGTTAGCCCCATCCCGTGGGTGTTGTATGAGACGATAGAAGGAAACAAATCAGTGGATGGGCAGCAGCGTCTTCGTAATAACTAAAAATAAAAAACTACGGTTGCCAACCCGCTCGCCAAGCTTGACTACCATGGCAAATATCTCCCTTATGAGGAAATCTATGGGGAGGCCTAGGCTTACGCTGGAACGGTAACGGTAACATTTTGTTAATACAAGTATGGGTGTAAAACGAGCAGAAAGTCCACCTTGCGGCAAATATATGCTGTTCCCCATAGACACCTACATATTTTTTTTATTAAGAATCAAAATACAGGTACGTTGTCGCTCATATGCCTCGTTCAAGTAAATAGGATCTGCGGTTTTTATTAATTGCTATATATAACCCAGTAGCATTATGCTGTTTTTTACGTAGGTATTCTTTGAGAGCGTATTCCCGCCCTGACAAGCCGGTCGGTTAAGCAGCTGAAACGTCAGTTTGTTTAACCTTTTAATAAATGTGTATTATGATGTGGAATACACAAGCTTTTCACACAGCTTGTTCTTGAGCATTTTTAACGAAATTTTAATGTCCTCTGTACAGTATCTCACAGAATACCAGCGTAAAATAGCAGCTTGATGCAGCTGTGTTTCGTATGTTGAGTGTAGAGAACCGGAGACCCTTTTTACTTGAAACGAGGCATTCCATCTTAGTCCTCACGGGTGACAACGCATCTGCATTTTCATTCGTAATCGAGGATAGCTGTATATGTCTATGGGCCACAGCAACCACTTATCATCAGGTGGACTGTGTGCTCGGTTGTCACCTTTATACTATAAAAAAAATATAATATATAAAAATCAGAAAAAACGTAAGCAATAGTTTCTTTCGGACAATATACAATAACACTAAATAAATCTTTGTTTTAACAATAAACCAAAATTTTGTCATTAGTATTGTGTTAAGATTATAACTAAAAACAATTGTTTCGCTGAATACATTTGAAATTCCCACGAAATCGCACACACGTGTTCGGCAATACTTACACGCGCTTAATGCAAGTGTAAATATGAAAATGAAGGTTGGTCATACCCAAAAGTGTACCGATGTAAAGCATTAACGCCCAGATTTAGTAGGACAAGTAGAGTCTGAGTAAAATCGCGGTTAATGGTCAGAAGGATTCGACGTCAAACCGGTGTCCTTATAAAGGCAACTGGCGTGACTTGATTTGTATTTGCAGTCATGGTTGTCACTGTACGCGTTTTCGCGTTCTTTCAGCCTACAAGTAATATCTAACCATTTCGTTCGCACCTAAGTACTAAATTGGATATGTTGGTAACTGTAATTTGATAGTATTTACACGGACAATCAATGTTATAAATCCGAAATTAATTATATAGTAATTAGTTATACTAGTGATCATCGCACAGGTGATTTCTGAATCTCGAGTCCAATTGTGAATCTAAACCATCCATTAAACACACACAAAAAATTTCATCAATATAGATTGAGAGATTTTCGAGTTCTTGTAATCAAATAATGTAGGTTTTAACTTCCCAGTTAGAAATTATAATTTTGGTCTGTTATATCAAAGTCCTAGTTTCTCATCGTCCCTGTCTCTAAAAATTATCTCAAAAAAAAAGTAAGGAGTTCAAATTTGTTATTAAATGAAAACAATAAAATATATTGTAAGAGAAAATAATACTTTTTATTGTTTTGTCAACCCTAAAAAGGGAGAAAGCGCCATCAAGCACTTACCATTCGATGTCTAGTGCTTTTCTCTTTTTTAAACACGTCAATACAATTTATTTAATATTTCGATCAGGCACAATATTCTTTAAAAGTGAAATAGCAGCCTACATACATACGTCCCACTTGTGGGCACAGACTATCTCTAATTGCAGATAAATAAATAGTAAAGTTTTAGGACAGTGCATGTTCCCGCTGCGCTACCCTGATGCGTGTGGGGGACTGCAATCCTCAAAATATTTTTGCTATCCAATACGGGTTTCCTTAAGATGTTTTCGTCACCGCCGAACATGTTACGTTTATACGTGGTAGAGCCATGCTGCAGCTATATTAGTAGTGTAGTTGTAGCACGAATGGGTCGGCTCGACCGGGGAAGGACCACGCTTCATGCTGCTGTGTTTCGTATGGTGAGTGTAGAGAACCGGAGACCCTTTTTACTGGAAAAGAGGCATTTCATCTTAGTCCTCAAGGCTGACAACGCATCTGCATTTTGATAAATGTAGATGTCTATGGGCCACAGCAACCACTTACCATCAGGTGGACTGTGTGCTCGTTTGTCACCCTATTTCTATAAAAAAAAAAAAAATGTTGTAAATGAGTGCGTAAAATTGCAATTAATGATTTAATTGTTTCTGCCGAAAATCAACTCTGTTGGCTCGCGTACTATGAAAATTTATGGTGGGCGCTTATCCAATGAGCTAACAAACACTATTACGGTCCGATGAAGAAAAAGAACTATAAGCATTTATTGCGCGATAGGCATTTGTGGTGGCCTCCTTGATCTATGTTAGATATATGTAAGATATATGTAAATTTTACGGTTGTCGGTATAGAAAAGTAAATAGGGTAGATAAAATTGTTGCATCTTCATGACTTGATGTATTTGGCCCGGAAGAAACATAAATGACCCCGACGTGTCATCTGTCATGTCATGTGTCCTATTTCGTAACACAAAGAAAAAAATCTTGTCAATATTCTTTCTTAACAAGGAATTCTTTTACGTTAGATTCGCATCATCATGCACTTATTAATGTTTTATCCATTTGAACGACAAGACCAACCCGGCTCAGTTTAATAGCACTGTAGCTTTCTTTGTGTAGATATGTCAACACTGAAAAAACAATCTCGTAAACTAAATGTATTAAGTAGAGTCGTGTAATTCCCAGAATGGGAGTGTGTACTACAACCGCTGCCTATGAACGGTGTACGGGGTTGCGCGCGACGGGAATGGGTGGCGCGGCACGTGCTGGCGGCGGGGGCGCTGCTTGGCAAGAGCTGCTCGGCCGCGCTAAAGCTGGCTGGTCACGCCTCCGCACTCCAGACACAGGTACGACACTCAGAAATAAATTTAATACACACAGTTGAGAAGTGACGCAAGAGGGCGCGGCAAACGTTTGCAACGTCGCCACGGATTCAAATATCACTTCGTATTTACAACCTGAGTCGGTATGAGTGACCTACGATATTCCTGCAAATTGCTAAGCTATATTATATATTTATAATGTTTATTTCAAGTAATAAAATTTGACGATCCCGTGGCGCAGTGGCTTAGCAATGAGTTGCAGCGCTGGAAGCCGCGGGTTCGAATCCCGCACGGAACAGGTATTTGTACGGTCTACAAATAATTGTTCCGGGTCTGGATGTTCGACCTTGTGCAATTTATGTTTGTAAACTGCCTCCACGATACATGAGAAAATCCTAGTGGGGGGGTAACGTTTTTCTTTAAAATAATAAAAAATTACAAGTTTAAAAAAATCGAATTAGGGTGATAATAGAGCACACAGTCAACCTGATAGTAAGTAAGAATCAAAAGGCAGATGCGTTGACATCCTAAGGACTAAGCTGGAATGTCTTATCCAGTAAAAAGTGTCCCCGGTCCTCTTCTGACTTGCTTTAATCGCCACGCTTATGAAACGGATTGATGCTGGCAATTCCAGACGTTTCGTCTCGCATCTTTGACGCTAACGGCCCGAAGATTATCTGTGGGTATTTTACGTCTGGCGTTAATGAGATATTATAACACAATCAATCGAAAGTCATACAATCTTACTGAAGTTTCACATAGCCCTTAATCATCCACGGGAAGAATCAGTGATGAGGTGATGAGTTTTTTTGCGCCGCCATCGCATGGCTATGCACAAACTATTCCTTAGAATTTTCTTGGTTTCTGGCTTTCATATTATTATCTTAATTGTTGCTGTTAAGACTTTAGAGAGTGTTTGAATTACAGGGCTACCTCTTCGGCTGCCACTTGGCACTAGCGTGGCAGGCGTTCCTAGATCTGGAGGCGTTCTCTGGGCCGGAGCCGCGCAGCTTCTCACTAGTGGGTGCGCCACTCGCCTTCACCCTGCAGGCCAGACCGCAGCTCTACGAGCTCATAGAGCAGGGCCGACGTAGTGTGCACGATGTCGATTACCACGCTGTAAGTCTACCTATTTTTTTTTATAGAAGGGGGGGGGGGCAAACGAATGAGCGGCTCACCTGATGGTAAGTGACTACCGCCGCCCATGCATAACTGCAACACGAGGGGAATTGCAGATGCGTTGTCGGCCTTTTAAAAAAGGAGTAAGTTGTTTTCTTGAAGCTCCCTAAGTCGTATCGTAATATCTCTTTTCACTAACATATTCTTTATAAATCTCAGGTTAAAAATTTTAAAAGTAGATTTAGCGGTGCACCCTGCTATGATGGTATCAATTATGCGTTTACCAGCTCACCTGTCAAGTGTGCTGAGCAAGGGCAAGCTTATCCAGCGTAGTGAGCGTGGTGTTTAAAGTAGGTTGTAGAAGTCCAAGGGCTGTGGCAGTCACATAAGTACCGTGTAGGTAAGGCCATGTATATGGCGACATAAGAAAAGCTACTACTTACCCAATACTATCCCGTGGGTTTCGGAAGAGGCGACATAGGGGAATGAAATTTACAAAACTGCGGTTGCTGACCCGCCTGATAAACGTGGCGAATATCCTTCATAAAAGGTAATCTAAGGCGAAAGCCTATGTTAAGCAGTGGACATTTGGTTGGTCGCAACGAAAGTTCGGCGACGCAGTGGTAGTGCATAGAGCCATTTTTTATAGGATAGGGTGATAAACGAGCGCACAGTCCACCTGATGGTAAGTGGTTGTTGTGGTCCATAGACATCTGCATCTATCCTCAATAAAGAATCAAAATGCAGATGCGTCGTCACCCGTGAGGACTAAGATGGAATGCCTCTTATCCAGTAAAAAGGGTCTCCGGGTTTCTACACTTACCATACGAAACACAGTAGCATTAAGTTGATATTTACGCTGGTGTTCTTTGAGAGTGTGGTCCTTCCCCGGTCGAGCCGACCCATTCGTGTTACAACTATATTACTAATATAGCTACAGCATGGCTCTGCCACGTATAAACATGGGGTTAGCATATGATTATTAGCCCTCATTGTAATGGCGATGTAAGGTTCAATGGTAATGTGTGGTGCAGCTGTACCAGGCGGTGCTGGAGGGCGACGGCATCGAGCAGACCAAGCAGCTGCAGCGCGAGCACATCAGCACGGCGTGCGAGGTGCTCGACAGCTTCCCCAACTGCGACGCGCGCACCGCGCTCGCCAACATCATCGTCGCCATGCACCCCTAGCCTGCCCCAGCCTGCGCCAGCCCGCTCTGGCCTACCTAGCCAGCTCTAGCTTACCTTCCCTTGCCTCCAACTGCCAGTCCTAGTCCGTTATGGCTCATCTTAATTGGCATAAGTTTTTCCTAGTCTATCCTACCCTGACGTTATTAAGTGGGAAAATCCTGATGAATACCTGCTTTAAATGTGGGTAGGCTATATCGTATTGCTATCGATTAAAAACCCACGGTATTACCTCTTAACTTCGTCGAGGGATCTTGGAATATCTGTGCATCTTGGCAACCACTTCGTTTTCAATTCAACCTCTCGAACCCAAGGCGAGTGTGATGGTTCTAGAACATGGCGATTCATCGTCCTTTTCAGAGCCGCTTGCGTTGAGCCTAGCCCACCACATCCTGTACTAGGCTATCCTATATCCGCTGTACCGAACACACACACACAAACCTAGCACTTAGCTTTCACAGTATACAAACATGTGTTTTGTTCTAAATATTGCGCAATTTTTTAATTATTTCCACTGTGTGTTCGAGAACTACTAGGATTAGTAAATCAAACATATTTTACTACGCGTTACGTTATTTTTATGTTGCTACCTCAATAGGAATTTTCTTTAAACCACTTATTTATATTAAGTAATTAAGATGCACGACTGGAACCCTCGTACCAGTTATCGAAGTGTAGAGCGACCCCCAATTTTACATTAAACCCACTAGTTTAAGAGAAAACATGGTAAATGATGCACGAAGTCAATGGATGTCTAAGGATCATGTTTTATGGCATTCCTTGGGGGAGGGAAACCTATGTGCAGCAGTGTACTTGTGGAGTGGTGCACTGACGATGATGATGATAAACTTACTTTATTCACATATTTACTAAGCCGTTTGTTTGTAAATAAATTCCACCTCTTTTTATTATTATTTGTCTAAAAAACTCTTTTTTGACTAAAAAAACATGTAAATCAAATATCGATATGACAACTTTCTTTAGTTTTATTTAGGGTTATTTTGCAAAAAACCGGCCAAATTTACAGAGAAGGTTCAGAATAAGTAATACAGGCAAATGGTGAAGAAAAATTAATAAAAAAAAAATCACGAACGTTCTGTCCTTTTTATCTTTTAAATTAAAATGCATGGTCATCACCATGCATTTTAATTTATGTTAACTGGTTTTACTGCGCACGCACACATTCGTATGGGTCGATGGGTAGCCAAAAACGTTGGTGCCAAGTTTAAAGTTTGGCTACTCTATGAAAAATAATCCTGTATAAGGCTTGTGTCTGTCGATAAGTTGATAACGGATGGCACTTTTGGAAGCGTAATACATTTTGCAATTACACGGAGATTGGTAAACAGCAATTTTCATTTAACGACTTATCGTTTATCGAATTAAGATTTTAAAATTTCTGAACTCTACTCATTGGATATTTAGTAATAGAAACAACAAGCAGTTTTACTTGTAAAAAGTAGTTTTATTGATTTAATTTTTTGTTATTTTTATTTGAAAGTCATATACATCTAAAACATTCCACACTAATTAAATTAAAAATTTCTGGTGTTAATATCTCGAATGAATGCATTGAATTTGTCGTATATGATACAGTTTTTAAAGGTATACCGGATTGGGGCTTCTAATAATGCAAATAAGCAGTAAAGTAGTAGGCATCCGTTAACTATATTTCCTGGTTATTTTTATAACCAAATAGTTGGTACTTGGCGGCGCGTTGCTGCAGCAGAAGGAATAATTGTAGAAATATCGTCTCCTTTTTTAAATTTGGAACAGTTATATTGTTTATTAATAAGGAATGATAATACATTCATAGAAATTGAATGATATATAAATTTTAAATACATTTGTCGGTACGTGCCCTCGCCATCTACTGTTAAGTTAATTGTACTATACCTATAACCTTCGGGCAAGTGCAAGCAATAAGTTGAAAAAGTTTTACCGCAATCTGATGAACGGTATGGCTGCGTATAAAATATGAACAACCAAACATTAATTTTTATATATTAGGTTATAAAACTTTATTTTAAATGTAAAAAAATGCAGACAGGTAAAGTAAAAAAGATTTTGCAGGTTAATATCACAACATAGAACCTGTCTATTTTGTGGTATTATGGACTTTTAATAATAGGCTATTATCATCAAAGTGACAAAAAGGCGTAGAGTGGAACTTTTTAATTTTTATTAATTTTAATTGACAAGTTGTTGATATATAGCTAGAACACATAAAAGGTCTGGGTCTATTAGATGCGATTACAAAAAGAAAGTTACCATGAAAGTGCAAAAAAATTTGAAGAATGAATCTTTGGCTTTAAATAAATATGAAATTTTATATTGTTAAATTATATTTATATTATATCGTGCTAAATAAAGTAGGTATTAGAAATGATTATTTTTGTATTTTTATATCTAAAGGATTTTTAAATACTGTGTATATAAAAGAAATACAATTATTCTCTATAAAAATATTTTCTCTTTACTATGCTATGAATCTTACCTCTCTTTAAAATACTCGTAATGTGATGACAGTTTTTCTTCTCATTTAGATGTAAGTTTAAATTTTAATTAAGTTTTATGTTACCATAATGATTCATTTAGTACTTTTATACATTCTACGTAGACTTTAATTAGTATTTTATATATATTTTATATATTCTATATAGATTTTAAGTAATGATAGTACATTGTTATTGGTTGTATAATTTTACTAACATACTTGCAACAACTAAAATTAAATTAATTTTATATAAGTTCAATTCTTGTGTAAAATTTTCAAATATTGTTAAAGCGTATTTTCGAAGTAATTAATAATAACCGGCAACCTTTTTGTATTTTATTCAAATTGACAGTGAAAACCTGTATTAAAAAATTAGATAAAATTTATTCTGTATGATATTTTTATTATATAGTAAGCATTTTGAATAAAAAATTATTTATTTGAATTTGAGAAAATGTTATACGACTGTAATTGGTGTTCTATAAAACTATGTAAATAAAAATATTGAAAAGATATATTTCAGTTTAAAAGAAATAATTACATATTTTTATATTATTTGTACACATGGGTAAAAACTTTTTTTTATAAAATATAGTAAAACTGAATTTAAGAATAAAAAATATATCCGCCCAATTCAAAATCAAGTGTTGCAAAAAGCAAGCTAAAGTCATGCTCAACTTTATAGTAAGAGCACTCACGCACACATCTGCATCTTAAATAATTTGCGACCAGCAATATAGTTTTAGGTGCATATGTGTGGGTCCAGCAGTGCAAAGAAACAAAGAAAGAAAGAAGCAAGATGTGTGCGTGAGTGTCAAAAAGCTGAGCATGGTTTCGGAGTCACTTGAAATGTAAGCAGCGTTCCGTCTATCTTTATTTGTTGGTTGGTTGTGTATTAATAAAGAGTAACTTGTTAATAATCCTATATATTTTCGCGTCTCGTCGGTTATGAAAAGATCACTTGTGTTCACTTTTACATGTCTTAACGGCAACATACACACATGATTTTTTTCCTGCACATCTATATCACAAAACCTTTCGAATTATATAAGTTTGATTATATTGTATATTGGTATACTACGTATTGATTTTGTATAATATAGTACATATTATATGAGTGTATAACTCTCTATTAAAATAAAATTTTATTTTTAACATATCGACTTTCATTGTTTATCTAAACTAAATTACATACTGGTAGGCATCGTTTAAACGCTTTATTCATATAGGTATTAAATATTAATGTAGGTATATACAATATACATACATTAAACGTCAAAGAAATTTAACTATAGGTTGAATAATTTTAATAATGAACTATTAATAACATAATTTTAATAACATTCAAGATATCTATTTTACTTTTATAGAACAAAGGTGACCAACGAGCACATAGTCCACCTGATGGTAAGTGGATGCTGTGGGCCATAAACATCTACATCTATCCTTCATGAAGAAAATCAAAACGCAGATGCGTTGCCACCCTGAGGACTAAGATAGAACGCCTCGTTTCTAGTAAAAAGGGTCTCCGGTTCTCTTTCTCTACACTCACCATATGAAACACAGCAGCATTGGACTGCTATTTTACGGTGGTATTCTGTGAGAGCGTCGAAATAATAAGTCAGAACCACTATTTATAAAGTTGCAGTAAATATACATTCCACGGCTCGGCACAGGTCTCTCCTTCCTGAGAGAATTAAGTGGCGGTATGGAAGAATCCATCTCCCAATATTGTCCTATGAATGTAGTAAGAGGTGATTGTAAGAAAGGCCTCAAAAACACTCTGTATTCGATAGCTGACAGTATATTTTTTTAAAGAAGAGGGGCAATCGAGTATGTGACTAACCTGTCGACCGCTGCCCATGAATATCTGCAACATCAGGGGGATTGCAGGTGCGTTACCTTTTAAAAAAGAATAAGCTCGTTCCTTGAAGGTCCCTAAGTCCTATCAAAGTAAAAATCAATGTACAAAATATTATTGAAAGATAAATTTCTGACCCTTTTGAGTGAACTTAGGTTAAATGTCACTTTGTTACGTGGTAGAGCCAGGTTACAGCTATATTATGGGTACAGCACTGATGGAGAAGGACCACGCTTTCACAAAATAGCCGCATAATGCTGTATGTAGAGAAGCGGCGACCCTTTTTACTGGAGAAAGCATTCTATCCTAGTTTGTTAAGTTTCTATTTATGTATCTACATTTTGATTCCTAATTGAGAGTAGCTTTAGGTTGTATCCACAGCATTCACTTACTGGACTGTGTGCTCATTCGCCACCTTTAATCTATGAAAAATATATAATACGAGAATATCGTCTAAATAGTTACATTAGAAACTTGATGTCCTATTTTTTGATATTAAGGGATGGAATTTAAATCAGAATTTGATGAGAAGATGTGTCGTGATTTCCCGAACGCTGCCCAGCCGAGTTGAATCCGTCGATTGACCTCTAAAATATAACCTATAATATATGATAATAAAAAAGAATTTTATACGTGGTAGAGCCA